TCTTTGATTATTAGAGATGTAAGATGCACTTTATTTCTTTATTCTTACGTGCTACTCAATATCATTGTTTGTCACGAAGTGTTTTGTTTCTCAGAGCTGAAATGAGGGATTGGGGCATAAAAAGTATGCGAATAAAGAATTAACCCTCAAAACAAACAATCAAACAAACAAACACAAACTGCGATTTGATATGCATGACAACGTATGATAATGTCATAGGAGTTCTTGGAACCAGTTTTTGTAGCAAAATAATAGTATTCCAGAACGTCATAAGAAAATGTAGGTATAATATTGACAACCACAATTGGGGCTAAGCTTACCTTGTGCTTCTACTTTTCCCAATTACATGATATGGTTTAAGTCTTTTAATTACATACAGGTGATTCTTTGGATTACTGCATCTTTTCATAGCCGTCACCAGGTTTCTGGAAAGGAAGTTGCGGTGATGATCTTGGAGAGTTATCCACTTCCTCTAAGCCCATTTTTTAATTTTTTAAAATAAAAAGTTACAGTTTTGATGGCTTCTGCATAAAGGTCATTTTCAAATAATATATAAACAAAATCTTGCAAAATTACTTTAAACAGATGAATATGGAATATATCATAAAAATATTTTTTTTAATAGAAAAAAGGGGGTGCGATCGTACCCAACGCATCTCTCCTCCCGACGACCTTACTTTAAGACATTGATTGATAAAGTGTCAGAATGTATCGGCAACACCCGTTGATGCCTAATTGTGTTCACTTAAGCTCTGGGAAAGAAAATGACAATGCTGTGGGTGATAAATGTGAAGAAATATTACAAATGCAGGATGGATCATTTTTTCATAATATACTATAGGGTAGCCTTGAGAGTGCCTTTTTCAAGGAAAGTTCTCAACATTGATAAACAAAAATAACTTGTTTCTAAATGTCAGAAAAGTTGCATGAATTCGAAACAGATCCTTCTGGGATCAGTTATTTTGAATTTTTAGCACAATGGTAATGGTTCACATACATATAGTAAGTAATTAATCTATTACAAGAATTTCATCTAAATCGAAGACGAATTCCATTCTTACCGAATTTCATAAATCTTCCAAATCCTACAAAATTACTGAAAAAAGAGAAACGATCCTGATGATAAAAACGTCAACAAATAGAGTGTAAATTATATTAATGCTTTTGATATGTTACTCGATCCCACAATTATCAGATTTATCTGGCACACATTTCAGATTGATGACATCTTCGAGCCACCTTTAAGATATTTACAACGTCTTCACCAGGTAATCTGGACTCAAAGCGATGCAGTACGTGTAGAATTTATTGGGTAAAACGATCCATAATATCAGTGATAAAGAATGATGTTTATTGAAAAAAAGAAAGTGAAGACAATCATTGTTTACGATTGGCATTTTGTTTCAAATGCAACATCAGCGCATTTTAGTTTTAAGAAAGTTTTTTTCCCTTGTCATGTTCTGTTGAATTTAGCAGAGAAATTATCAGTTTGATTTCAGATGTTGATAACCACAATGTAGAAGCACACTTTCGTATGTTGTTGTCACGCATCACTTCCTTTCTTGCGTCATATATATTCCATGATAACAGTGAATTCTTCAATTGAATTCTACAGGTGGTGTCTAAAACATTAATTTAGATGGTAGGATTGCATTGTTGTATTGTGGACCTTTATGAATATTTACATTAACAAAGTGAAAATCGCCGTTTCCAAATAATTTTGCAAAATACACATGAACTATAGTAACAATTTGATTTCTTTTGTGGAGCAATTTACGATAAATAACACAAGGATAACAAATTAATACAGATGAATCAATTTTTTCAGCTGGTATACATACACTTTGTACCTTGTCTGTCCGTCCCCCTTTTAATTATTATTTTTTAAATAATTGTTGTTTACCTCAGCTATGGTTGCACTATTCATGGAATAATCTTCGAACGTCTAGCAAAGGTAATGAGAATCGGAAACATCTTGACTTAACTTTATATTCATTCATAGATGTCTGCTAGGATTCTACATCTAGTCGAGTTAAATGTAAAAAAAAAATACATTTAATTTTCTAAAGTTTAAAATTCTTAAATTATGAATATCATATACATGTATCTGTAACCAGCAAGCAGCTGTTTGTGGCAGCATATCCTTTGTAGTCTTATCTTAGTCTCTATCTTATAAAGTTATTGACCAAAATTCCTCAAGGGAATAGAACACGCATTTGTTACATATAGAAAAAAAAATTCCAATACACATTTTCAAGAGCTTACTCAGTAATAAGGAAAATGTAAGCCAAACGTTTTGTTTGAAAATAAAAAAAATGTTCTCTTTCATCTAAACCTAAGATCAGGAAAGATAACTTTTACATAAGAATACTATCGTTGTTTCTTGGAATGGGATGAATCGCATCGCGGAACTCGTATATCAAATGTTTTTGTGAGGATTTCTATAGATTCTACTGATTTTTTTTCTTCCTCAGTTACATGTACAGTTAAATTGAAATATTTCATAGGTATAAAAATGGCTGCGTAATTCAACGTTTACTAATATCAATAATATTTATGATTTTGCTATGATATTTACAAATTATATTTTGAGGATATTTGATAAAATGAGGGACTGAAATTGTTTATGAAATATACAAATTCAACTAAAAGGGAAATGATAGTTAGTTAAAGTTTTGGCTCTGGTGATTTTAATTTTTTTTTTTACACATTGTAACCACGTAATGTCTAAGTACGTATTCCTTCATTTTTTCTATATTTTGGCTACTATTTAAGGCAAAAAGGTGTAAACAGTAATTTGCCAGGACATGTTTTGTACCGATTTGTGAAAAGTGTATCCAGTAAACCCATTCAGATATTATTGTACATGGCTGGCGGCTTTGATTCTCAACGAAGGGTAACTCTTTGAGACGAAAATTAACTTATTCTGAAAGAAGAGTGACTTTCCGTATAAAATATAAAATTAGTAGACACTTCTCTTTCAAAACAATAATTCTGAAGAATCCTAATTTTAGCGCATTTTGAGAGCAGATTATAGTGTTTATGAAAATACAGTAAAAGCTCGTTATCTCTAAATTAATGGACTGAGATAAACTTCGAGAAATCGAGGGTAAAATACAAAATCACTTTGACATATTCATGGTATTTGAAATACTGGTGTTTGGGATACCGAAGTTCATCTGTATAAGTATAACCTATTCATGAAATATTGAAAGAAAGTTTGTTTTTCATCTAGATAAAAGAGTGTAAATTTCATGATTACATGTATAAGTATCGTATGGCTAAGCACAAGTCAGTCTTTATCAATCTGTTGTATAGCAAAGAAGACAACGTATTGTTTTATCCATAAACATGAAATCAACTGCATAGTGAGAAGAAACACTCTAAAAGGATCAGTGAGCCTAAGCTTGTAAAGTTTTGCCAATACTCAGTACTTGGTATGTTGATATTACGGTTTAAAATTTGAGGAGAATGCTTGTAATTCTAAGACTATCAAAAATTCCCCAACAGAAATAAAAATGAAATATATGGAGATAACGAACAGTATTCAAGCTCAAAAGTCCATTAAACATTACAAAATAGGTGCAGAGCAAATACGGACCTCCAGAACATTAGAGATGGAATCAGGTGCCATGGAGGAGTGAGCATCCCCTGCCGACCGGTCACACCCGCCGTGTGCTCCTTGTCATGATCGGGAAATAACGGAAAAATTCATCCGTCGACAATTCAGTGTGTAAATAATGGCCTAACAATTAGTATGAAAAACGTCAGTCAGCATTTAACTCAGTGATAAATTGTATTTGCAGACAAGGTCATTGTATCGACCATAGAACTTACGAACTGATGACTTTAAACGAGACTGCTGATATTCTTGTTTCATCAACTAATGCAAAATGTCACTTCGATGGATTAATGAAACATCAAGAAAAAAGGGTTTTTTAATTGGAATATCTAAAGATAGCTATCGTCTGATTTTTGTACTATTCCTGGATGGCGAAAGCGTAAGAAAATTTGGCCCTGAAGTTCAATTTTAAAAATTTAGCACTAAAAACAGCTTCCAAAAGAATTCCTTGAAAGATTTGGTACCCACACAATCCCTCTCCCCCCCCCCCCCCTACCACCACAAAAAAAAACCCTGCTCTTTCTGAAAGATATACTGATTGATAATTGCAAACTTCAGTCCTTAGTGTTCATACCGATGGAATGCAAAAGCTGCAAAAGGGGTAATGAAAGGTATATATTTTTGAAATATGAATCGAGGAAATGAATGAAAACAAAATATTCCACTGATCTTGCTGACGTCTGAGTAATACTGGTGTACATTTTGCATGTTGTTTTCAAGATCTGTTCAAGATCTATTGGGATAGGGAAATTCATGCACTAAAAGGCTACATGTATAGAATAATGTTTTAATATAAAAATATTTAAGAGTTCTTGTGACCAAGTACGTCCAACTTTTCATAATGCACAAATGATTTTATACGACTGTGTAGGCCTAAATGCTAAGGTGATGTTCAATCAAGTCTTTTAATTTATGTATTTAAATTCATGCCTATTTCTTTTATACTGATGGGATAGTGATCAACAGCGTTCACCAAAGATATATGTATTACTAATGTGAACAATTACTGTACAATATTTTTGAAATGCACAATTTAGGAGCAAAATTGATTTAAATCTCACCAAGTTATTTTACCAAACAGCATCTGTTTCATAGATCAACATGTATTTTTTAATATTGAAAAGTGATAAGAAGCAATATACATGTAGTAATTATATATGTGAAATGTTAATTTTGACTGGACTTCATATTAATTGAATGATCGTAGAGTAGAAAGCTGTAAAATTTCAGCTATTTATTGAGAATTTATATAACAGAAATGATAAAATTTATTTTATTCCTACCATGGTGAAGTTATATTCAGTGAATCAAATTAACTTTAAGAATCAAATGTGAATCGACAATACAATATAAAATTTAAAAAAAACAAACAAACAAACAAAAACAAGATATATTTATTGAAAACTATTATGCATCAACAACATATAAAACGAAACACCATAAAAAAAACTGTAAACACTTCAATCGGATTTCAAACACATGAAAGACAAGTAATCAAGTTGACACTTTTTCCCTTCCAAACGCACCAAATACTCTGTCAAAGAAGGTGCGGGAACGCCTCTTGAAATCTACAACCTCACGTGATAAGGTAAGAAATGCTTCGGTTACTGTGTCAACATCTTCAGAGGCGGAAACCTCCAGGAAAGGACATCCCATTTCATTGGCTAAGCGTTGTCCTATAGATTTAGAATTTCTTGTATGAACATAATATGTAGCACTGCCATGTTATATATAAAATTATAATTCGATACAATGACCTTGTTTGCAAATACAGTGAAAAGGGTGAAGATCATGAAAAGTAATTAATGTTAAAAATCCTCTCAACAATACAAATTGTGAAGAGGGCAATAATATGGACCCATGGAAACACAACATGTGGGATTAGGTGCCTAAGAGTAGTAAGCATCCCCTGTCGAACGATTACATCCCCCTTGAGCCCTCTTTACTGATCAGGTAAACGCTATAATCCGTAGTCAAAATTAGTATAAAACAATGGCCTAACAGTTCGTATAAACCATTCAATCAAAATACAACCCAACGATAATTTGCATTTGCAATCTGTTGTAAGGTCGAATGATGACTGAACTCTTTCATACAAAGTGTTAGGCCTTTTCATACTGAATTGTCTACAGATTTTCCCGTTTACCCAATTATGACAAGGGACAGACCGCAGGTGTGACTGATCGACAAAGGATGCTCCGCCTAGACATCTAATCACATCTCTAATGTTTTAAACTGTTCATAATTTATTTAATTCATTGTACTTTTTTGAGCATAATTACTGTTAGGTATTTTCATATTTCATGTCCTGAAAGTCTTCTTTAGTTAAAAAATCATACTATGTAATGCTTAGGACTGTTTGTATCTTACCCTCTTCTTGAGTGACTTTCCTCATATGAGCAAGGTCACATTTATTTCCTAAAAGTACCATTGGAATGCTTGCACCTTTTCTATTTTCGTCAATTCTTCTCCTAATTTCTTGTATCATATCAAATGAATCTCTGCTCACTACTGAGTACACGACCAGAACGCCATCTGCCCACCTTAATACGTCATCACGGGCCCCACAGTCATCATTCTGAAACACAACCACAATCAACGTCGTGCTTAGTCAATTAATTATCCCTGTTTAGCAATTAAGATTATTATTTCGTGGAGTTAGACTGAAAAATCAAAGTCAAAAGCATATTTTATTTTCCTTTCTTAATGCGGTGATGAAATTGATAGCATGTACCTAGAATGATACCCCTTCTCGCTACTGTAACATTATAAGTACAGTTTCATGCAAGGTACAAACAGAACAAATTATGATGAACTGGGTTTTTTTATGTTTAAACAATATGAACTGAATGTAAATTGGAGTAGAAATTCGGTAAACATACTCTTGAAACATCTGGCTCAGATTTAAATGGACAACCCAGTCAAGTTCTTGAAACATCTTAATCGCGTATAACAATGCAGATATGGATGAAGAGGAAGTTATGTGCATGTTCGATAACTGGCATATTTTTGCATTATGCACTGTAAGAAACAATCAAATGAGCCTGACAGATGTGTTTATAGATCATTTGCACTGAATGTACAAGCACAACTAGTTTTTCTACAATGTTTTCTCTATGGGAAAAAATTTTGAAGCTTACTATTTTTATTCCAGAATTGATTTTCTTAATTTTCAAAAGAAGTACAGCTTTGTTCATTCCGTTTAACTTGCGCTTTCTAAATACAATTTCGAAAGAAATTGGTTTTCCCTCTTTAACAGTCAGGGAGATTGGTAGAAACGAAATGTTTTTCATTCACATTATTTCATCAATAAAGGATAGGGTCAACATATGCTTTTAAAAAAAAATTATTCAAAAAAATCTTTAAAAAAAAAAAAAGCTTAAATACTTTAATGCTTATTGACCAGAAAGGTTTTAAGTTTTATGACATGTAAAAATTAAATAGAGAGAATAAGCTAAGAAGCTCTATCCTATACATGTATAATACATTAATTAAAAATGACTTTTACATACAGCCCAGATCGTACATTATATTTTTAGATACTTTACCAACCATGTAGTAATTATCCAAAATTTAAAAAGTTTAATTCATTATGTTCAAGATTTTTCATTACATGTATCTAGTTTGTAATCAAAATGTCAGCACATTTTTTATACCTCTGATACAGTATCCAGTACTTCGAATGTAATCGTATCCCCGTCTATAGTTGTAGTGTACTTATACTTGGACTCTGAAAAGAGATAATTACTATTATCAGTATAATAAACATCGGTTTACAATAATGTGATTTTTTGCTGTTATATATGATGTGTGTTTCTCTATCATATATCTCCAATGTTTTCTAAGGAAACGTGTGCTTTGTGGCATAACTGTAATTAGTTGCTGTGAAATCTCCCATAACATTCACCAAGCCTTGCATATTGTTTTGCAGCTTCTTTATGGCAAGGCAATACTAAACTGCAAGCGAAGTAAGAAGAAAGTTAGTTTCTTTTAATCTCATTATTTCTGCATAAATTCATTACTACGTTCGTGACTTATTTTCTTGCCTGGGTATGAATTTTCCGTCTTCGTGTATGACAAATTAATACGTTTGTCTTACGAGTATTTCACCTGAACTTTTTCACGTGAAATTCAAGGTTTAAAATGTTAAAGCAAAATTAAGAGCTTTTAAAAATAATGTCATCTGTACTGAAATGAAACAATTTACTTAATTTGAAAATCAGAAACTGTTCACGTGAAAATCATACAGGCAAATTGTCTGTTTAGTTGTCTACCAAATATCTTTTGCTACATACACAAAGTATCACCTAATCTGTAAATAACACATACACACACAGTCTTGTTTTATGTACTTTAAAGATGCACAAATGATGAATTGGTAACATTCAAACTTCATCAACTCGTCGGCAAACTAATTCTGCTGTGAAAATTTAGAAATGTCGAACAAATTTACAAAAAAATCTAACCCTGCATTCTACACTGAAACGATCAATTATACAGAAAATCAATACCCAAGCTCACTAAATATACAGATGCTCAGAATTTATACTTCCTCAACCATCTGTATTAAATAATAGATCGAAGAGGTTTCTCTAATTACTTAATCATGGCAACCCCGCATAACAGAATGCACCGCTTAAGTGCAGCCTATTCATTAAGTTCAAACACTTCATTAACTGACGATCATAGTGTGAAATAGCTATTAAGCAACACAAAGGCACTTTTCATCGACATATTTTGCTCCAAGTATTGCTTGTCAGTCAAGTTTGAATTCTCATTTCGAATAACGTAATCTATTGTCCATTTGAAAAAAAGCAAAAGTTGAAAATTGATATTCACCATTATATATGTTATTTGATCAATGATTGATGAAGCGAAGGAAACCCATAGACACACGTGTAGGAACAAAACTTTATGCCAAGGTAAACGATATAAATTTCTATCTAAATCATATCACTGTACTTTTAACAAATATCAGGCTTTGAATGTGTATCAGGTTGTTAATTGCACTTCATTGTAAACAAAGGTTTTAAAACCGTTCTATCAGTATTTTATACCCCCAACTAAAAGTAAGCGTAAGTATGTTCCATCCGTCCGTCCGCTACGCTTTTGGGATACTTATCTCTTATCCACAACTCTTTTTATACCTCTGAATAAATTTTAATAATGAGACTTTCAAATAATTTTTATTACATAGTGCCATTGTGCACCCCTGCATTACTTTTTGATCGGAAACATATTTCAGGTTTTCCCTACATGTAGCACACACTGTAACATTGATACTGCCATTCTTTCCACATCGAAGGTATCCATCTCTTATCCACAGCTACTACTGTACCACTGATTAAAATATAATGATACTTCCACATATATATATATTTTTTTTACATAGTGGCACTGTGCACCTCCTAATTTATTTTTAGATCGGACGCATATTTTGGGTTTTCCACTGCAAAATATGGACACTGCAATTCTTTTTATATCATCGGGAGAACCCATTTCTTATCCGCAAATCCTCCTTCACCAATGAATAAAATTTGATAATACTTTCACAGAATCTTTATTACATAGTGCCATTGTGCACCTCCTACTTTACATTTTATTTGGACAGATATTTGGGCTTTCCCATAGCAAAAAAAGGACTCTAATTGCCATTATACTCATATGGGAGCGATGGATTTCATTTCGTGAGCTCACTGCTTACAGTACCTCTAAGTTTTTTTTTAAAGGTCAACCACTCTGACAAAATATAAAAACATGATGGTCATATCCATCCATGCATACATCAAGAATTTCACGAAAACAGCAGAGGTATCTGTGAAGATAAGCATTACACCTATCTCCTGATGGGCATGAGGCAAGATAGGTATTTATCATTCTAATCAAGTTACAAGATGAGTGGAACCACACAAAAACATGAATGTGTTCGCTTACCAACTGTCTGGTCATACTCTCCAATAAACCTCTTTGTCAGGAACCTTACGGATAGTGCTACAAGTAAAAATATATGGATGTTATCATACTGAATAGATAGAAAACGTTACGCAAAGATATATATTTCAATATATTGAAAGCATTAAATATACCAAACTGTGGCTTTTCCATTTGCATTGACTGACCTCAGAAAACAGAATATACTATAATGGAATACTCAAGGTACCAGTACTTGACTCAAAGAAATCAGAGAGTATATCTTTACTTTTCTAGTAGCTCTTAATGAAACGACACATTCATCCATTGTAGAGTTAACGAAAGCAATGTCGGCCAAAGCAATCATTACCGTAATAGTTTTATATATACAGAATTAAACAAACATTTGAAGCAAACTGCATGTGTCCCTTCGGATTAGTATATCAAAAATTATTCACATTATAGAACAGTTTGTTGTGCTAAACACTGTTAACAACAATAAAAGAAACTAAACAACAAAAATCAACACTTTGGGATACAGAGCCTGATGATATAGTCGGATATCAGTTTTTCAGAGGTGTTTTACAATGTATAAATACCTAAAGAGTGTTTGATTTGCTGAAAGGTCCTTTGGTGGGATGCATGCGATATTTATATGAATTTTGATTTAATTAAGGAATAACTGTCTAATTTTTTGGATTCATGATGTGATCAATCGAGTGGCTTGCGTGATAATTTGCATAAACGCCGAAGGCGTTTATGCATAAAATTATCACGCAAGCCAATCGATTGATCATCGTCATGAATCCAAAAAATTTGACAGTTATTCCTTATATTTACATGCTCCTGATTCTGCAAATTCCCGTGCTAATAGCCCCGCTTCTGTCTCTATTTGTCCCGCCCCGCACGTGATTTTTTTTAACCGCGCCTATCGATGAACCAGTAGATTTATGTAGAAATAAAGTATTTTTACAATTTGTAATTTTATCTCAGACAAAGACATTGGAAATGTAAATATTTAAAGATAATGTTTAGAATCATCGATAAATGGCTTGACTTGCACTTGATTTATGAGCCCAATCTCCATGTATCTACCAAGCGTAACCTGAATATTTAAAGCTAACAACTTCAGTGAACAAGTCTTGTAAAATTCACTCCCTTTTTAACACGAACATAATTGGCAATTCTTTTTTCAGAAGACCCATTTTGGTCCTTGCTGTCATACTTATTACATGACCTTGAAGTTTTCAAATTAGAAATTAAATGATCACTTAGCTCTACATTTGTCGTATTCGATATCCTTATTCACTGATTGGAATTAATTGAAAGCTCGCATAGATTCAAGGTGTTACTCAAATTACATTTGATTTATATATGATTTTTTATGTCATTACTTTCATACATAGGCTATGAAATAGAAAGACAATTTTTTGGCATAATTGATATCCACATTAAAGACATTTATTTATATTATATGGTAGTGATGAGCACTTGAATTGATCTTGAACCTCGTGCCGGGGAAAAAGTTAACATTAGGACAAAGTTTCATGAAATTTTGAAAGTGTGTCTGTTTATTTCAGCTTTCGTACTCAATAATTGAGTTCTTCTTTTTTAAGGACGGGTTTGGTTTCATATGTACAGAAAAATGAAAATTTCATCACCAACATCTTGGGACCGAAGGGAAGAAAATTAAACTTTATTTATTACAGGAAAAAAAAAAAAAAAAAAAAAAAAAACTAACACGTGCTATCAAAGGACTACAGTGTAATGAACCGAAGGTTTCCGATGATAGAGAAGGCATCAAGCATTTTACGCCTCATTTGATAACAACTAAGACGAGTGTCCACATATTCTTTTCATTGGCAAATCTACAAATCTATGCATAAATATTGCTTTTATCTTATTACAATTTAGAATTATCATTTTCTGCTTTTACTACTGTTAGGAATAAAACGATATCATCTTCGTTTTCAAATCGGTTTTTGAAAAAATATATATCGGTGCCATGCGTTTTAATGGTTATTTTTATCTGTATGTAAAATTGCCCGTAATTTATTGATTAGAAAGACACCTCAAATTGATAAAATGATAATTTTATCTTATTACCTACACATTTTACGCATAGTAACCGAGATACATTTCTACAAATTGATTTCGTGCCAAACTATGATTGATACAAATATTACAAGAAAAATAATCTGTAATGCCTGTAGTTTGTATCAGAAGTAACAAAACGAAAAGGTTGAAAGATGTTAAATGCGATAAGTAGATAAGACCAAACTGATAGAACAAACGATATGTAGGCGTATAAACATACAATTTATGGTTTCTTCTTTCTTTGTTGCAGAAACTTAGAATCGTTAATCAACAGAAAATCAGACAGAAAGGATTGTAGCTTTTCCTGTTATAGACTAGATCAATGTTGATATTGATTTGGAATGAATTTGACAGAATTTTGGCAGACGACCACGTGGTCTGATTCTGACAAAAAGGCAGATGGTATATTGCTTAATATTTGGCCTCTTTATATCTTGTACAATACATTTGTGCGGTTTAATGCTTCGCACTATCTTGTACAATACATATGCATAGGGCATTCCGCGATTATCAATTATGACGTAATAGTCACAGACAGGGCAGATATAGCGTCATATCATTCGTAACTGCCAGGAAAAATTCTCTCATTTTTTCCGCATTGTTTATATCTTGCGTAAAAAATGAACGCTAGGTTTTTGATACTCCGTAGTTTGTTTTTGTTTGGTATGAATGTATTTGCATTTTGAAAAGCCGTCGATAGAAGGAAGAAAGAGAAATTATTTTCTTCCTGTTAAACAAATGATATAAAAAATATATCTACATTTCTACATATAACATATGCGTAAACATATCATATAACTGTTAATATGTGTCTCTTTTGTGAAATGGAGGGACGTGAAAAAATAATTTTAAACTCATGTTCATTTCTAACATTCTTTGCTATTTATCACTCACGTTGTTAGTTAAGACTTGTTTTAGTTAATCCCACGGTAATAACCTTTAATCATACATTGAATCTATACTGTAATTAAATGATTTATTTATTTATGTCTTTCATTCTCTTTCGTTTTTCTTTGCCCGTCTTCGAAATATTTTCCTCATTCCTGGGCCTTAAAGATCCTTTCCTTTGTTGTTTTTGATTAAACAAACATCTTGAATGAAGAACTTTTGCGCAGGAATAATCCCTCCTACATGATGTACTCTTCTGTGTAATGATACGAAGTGTGTTTTTGACTTTTCTTCTTATAGTTATATAAAAGAAAACAAATTATTACCAAAATTTTTATTTCTAATGCATTACATCATAGTAAAGCAACTTATAATTAAAAACGTGCTCCTTTGCAATAAAACTTCGTTACAGGGGTAATAGCATGGTATATGTATGTTTTCACAACGAGAGGATGTTTTCTGCTACTTGTACTTAAGCCTGTAATTAAGTGTACTAATAAAGTTTCAATTAAACAATAGGGAGCACAAGAGGTTAATTGATGACGTAAATATATCAAAAAGGAGGTCATTCTCATCAAAAGTGAACCGATTGGTTTAATTAAAATAATAATGAACATACGCCATGAAATCTCATTACAGAACTTTTCTCAGTTTTCACTAAATATCATCTGTATACCTTAACGAAGGATGAGTGTTAGTTAGTACGTTATGTAAAAAAAAAAAGAAAACCCTCAAATCTTAAGCTTACACAAGGCTTAGACAGAGAATTCTAGGAAACTATCCAGCTGTTCATTACTTTACAGTTAACATATGTTTCAACTGTTATCTTTTGACACGAGAGTGTCAGCAATATCATTATTGCAAATCTGCAATCTTGCAGAGTTTAAAAACTTTCTCATCCAACTATACACAAACAAGAACAATAATTCATAAAAATGATAAATGAAACAAAAAGTTTCTATTGTCATTAAACTTATATAATAAACGATATCATAAGATAAGTAAGAGGTTGTGAATTGATCTGCAAATATATGGGTTTCATCTTAATGGCATCGTTTTGATATATGTTTGAATATTGAAGCACAGATTATAGGGCACATATTAGTATTTTATTCAATACTGACAAATCTGCAAATCGTAGGTTTGCACATTTAATTTTGGAATGAAGGCAGAATAGAAATAATTATCTTCATTTCTGTTGGTAAAGTTACATTGATTATTTATAGAAGAAATGCATAGAAGATTTTTCAAATACTTACTTTCATTTCTTAAGAAAATCAAATTATAGATTCTGCTATGCAGACCGAATCTGTTAATCAAAACTTGCAGAGTTGATTTCTTTTTGATTGATACAATAAATTGTTAGTAAATAGGCAAAACAATGCATACTATCCAATAACGAAATTAACTTTAAGCAAATTTTCTAAACTAATAAATATTAAAGGATATAAAGAATAACTTTTCAAGTACCTTATTCTTTTAATATTTACAAAATTTCGCTATTCTTTATCTTAAAAACGAAGGGTAGATTGTGGTGTAAATAGCCGTTAAATGTTTCCAATACCATTTAGATTTTGACGATTAGTGGAATGCAGTTTTGTAAAATGTTCAAAGTAATTAAGATGTCTACAAAATGCTTTACTGGAACCTTACCACTTTTGCCGACACCATCTGTTCCAATGACCGCTACTTTTGTCTCGCCAAAGGACGACTTCTTCCGGCGTAGATACGGACGTAGAGTATTCCCAGAAACACTAGGTTCTGTCAAACCACTTCCGGGATTCATATTACGTCATTACTGATCATCACCTATTTATACAATATCACACAAATATTGTTCTTTGGGTTCAAACTGTATTTTTTGTTATTACTTTCTTTTCTTTGAATGGTTTTTCCCATGTATTCATGGTTATTATAATATGCACAATATGCTGTTTCACGATAACTGCAGTACTGCTCTTTTGCATGGCAAAATGATATAGTTTGGTGAAATCTGACGTAAAATATATTGTTCAATATACTTCATTTATTTATTTGTCAACAAAATCTTACCGAACGTTATTAATTTTCCTTGCAAAAGATATCGTGAAAGGCTAATTTTAAACATCCTAACTGCACAGTAATTAATTTTTTAAGTGTATTACGTAAATAAAAAGCAAATCATGCATAGAATAACCTATTTTTATTATCAAAACCAAAATTAAAGATTTTCTTCATTTCATACGTAATATTTTTACTTACTTGTATTAGATAAATGAATATTCCAAAAGTATTGGCTACATTAACTTTCTCGTATATCAACTAATACCTTCCGATCACCTTTAGTCAGCTCTCGCATAAAAACAAACCAAGTCGGACATATCTGCTAATTTCGAGTGAAAGCCCATCAGCACTGATCCTCTCATGAGATTCTCTTCGGCTATAAATAACGCCTGCGGTACATCTTCCATCTGCCAAAGACACAGAGGTACACAGGTAAACGTATCCTCTTCTTTTCCCCTCCTTGTTTACTGCTACCAAGCAACCACAGGGGGCAAGTTCCTTGTGTCTTGGATATTTCTTCCTTGGTTAAACGCTGTATCAGGGTACAAGATGTTGTTTGGGCTAATTCTTTGCCTCAATGGTGCTCACGATGGACAAATAAGATGTTCCATGTTTTTGTGTTGTTTCTAAGAATAAGGTTCATCATATAAAGCTTTTGAAAAATTATTGAATGCAGGTGCTGTCTTGATATGTTATGTTTAAAAATTATTTTGGAAGAAATATACGGAAAATTTTCAAGAGTATGTCTTTCCCTGCTGAGAGAGAGAGAGAGAGAGAGAGAGAGAGAGAGAGAGGAAAGATTCTATGCTGATTAAAAATATTTTAATTAGTAATTTCCGGAATTCCATTCATTCTGATAATGCTTCTATAATATTCCAGATCACACAGCCTCATACAATTACAGAAACAAGATTTTCCACTTACATCTACCGTAAATATTTGCTAAGCCTTGATGGGCCAAGACCTAACACATTTTATTCATAAATTGGCTCTAATGCTGTATAGAGATAAAACTGACAGATTGCTTCCGCATCCCGAGAAGATCAATATGAGGATAATATTTCAAAAATTCTGCAATTTTGAATATTGAATTTACATACAGTGTATCATACTTCTCTTAAAGTGTGCGTGATGTTGAAGCCATATCATTTGCATGTTCATTTGGCAACAACAGCATAACTTCACATTTAAATGATTTAAGACAAAGATACATATTTCTCTGCACACTTCTTGTTATGATATCAATTGAGTGTGTACTTAAAAGAAAACCATAAATATATATGTATTGTATAGTACTTCAATAAGTCTAGTAGAAAAGCGATATTTATGGAATAGCACGTTTTTATTCTATGACTTTCTAGTATATTTTTCTGCTTTTTTTTTCCATCGCTGATTTCATCGCTGATTTCTTTCGTATATACTTTGTTACTTTTAAAATTTGTGGTTTTACAAAACTTCTTTATTATGAAGAACTTTTAAACTAGTAACTAGTTTAGTTAAAAACTAACAACTAGCCAAATGATTATAAATGTATCAATAAAGCTTATTTTTTCAAACCCAAGGAGGAATTAAGGATTTGATTTAATTGTCCAATGGAAGACAGGGTTTTCCTACTTGTTAACGGTACATCTCATTGAAATTTCTGATAAGTAAATCTATTAGTAAGAGGCGAACATGTTTAGATGTCTCCAGTCATGTTGAAGAACATAAAGAAATTTGATGAACACTTATTTTTGAAACATTCTACGAAAATTCCTAAATACATGTATATGCATGTTTAATCATATATTTACAAACATAACATATTTTATATGCATGTGCATGAGGTATTACAATTAAATGAGATTTTGAATTAATATATCTAATATGAATGTATAATCACGCTAAACAGAAACATTTATCGTTACGAAAATCAACATATATGATTCAGGTTTTTGAGGAAAGGGTGAAAATTCTTACACTGCAGGTATTTTTCAACATTCCCACTTCATACATCAAACTTAACGATCTTATTTTCACAGCACGTTGAGGTTTTAATCAAGCATGTTTATTCATTTACTGGCTCTTATGCTATACCCTAAACTTTGATGTTAACTGATCACTTCCGGTCTTCATGAACTCAAATACAGGGAATGTTCACATTCTGAAATTTAAACAGGTTTTAGTGTTTAATAAAGATATCAGTTGTCATGGAAGGTGTAAAATAAAAGTTATTTACTCCAAAGTGATGTGTTTCTGATGCAATTAGGATTCAGAACTGCAATTCAAATAAAACATTTGTTTTTAATTTATAGGATGCTATTAATACGTTCTATTTCCATTAGTGAACTCTTCAAAATTAGAGGCGCGTTTGGTCGTCTGACAGGGACAGCATGGCGTTGCGGGTAATACAAAACATGCCAATCTCAATCCAATTTTTAATGTTAAATGTATTTGTCATTTCAAATAAAGAATAGAAGAACTAAAAGACATATGTAAGAGAGCGAGAACCCTAAATTGATATCGTTGTCATTCCTACTCTTGATGTATATAAAGTCCACAACAATAAAATATTTCATTTGCATTTTCTTAGGATTTGTTCATCGACATTCAACATATTGTTTACATGATTACGTTACGTTTGTCCCTGAAATCCCGCGAGATTTGTACATTTTCCGACTTTTTCACAAAAGAGCGCACTAAGAAGTATAACTCTTCCATAGTGGAAATAGAACGTAATAATATAAAATAGAACACTGTGCCGATTGAAATACTTTATATTTTGGAGTTCGATTAAGGACCTAAAGGAATCATATATATATATATATATATATATATATATATATATATATATATATATATATATATATATATATATATATATATATATATATATATGTCGAATGCAATTTGTACAATTGTACAGCAAGATCTCCGAGAAAAGTTATAAAATCTAGTATCTATCATGTTCTTTTTGGGAACTTTATCCCCAGAAGCAAAATCTGCTATATAACAATCAAATGTTACTGCCAATCTGTACCATGAGCTTTTGAATTTATTTTAAAAGTCGAAACGGAAACTTTTTTTTTCATAAATTCATTTGTTACTTTAATAAAAGAGGACAGATATAAAAAGGACAGAAAAGCTATATTATAAAGGCAGTCATTTTTACATAACTATGGAATACCAAGGAAGAATCATTTCGTGTCTCTAAATATTAGTTGGCGAGAGGTAAGAGCGATGCCCTTTCCTTAATGAAGAGAGGTACATTCTGATAAATTTGAATTTTTTAGGCGACATAGACTGAAAAAGGGCATAGAGTAGCTTGATAAAAAAGAAAGATGAAAAACAAATCTTACAAAGACAGTCACTTTGCAAAAACAGTGGTAAAGCATAATTATAAACCCAGAGATATTTTGCTACGCTATGACTGAGGAAAAGGTTGTGCGTTATCCTTGATCACGATTGTGTACATTCTGTTAAATTTTATTTTCTAGGAGAATTAAAAGACTAGAACAAACTGCAGAGATATGGTTGCTGACAAGTTTTTGGCCTACTGTCGAGCTTCCAGATCGTGAATAAACATATATTGACGTGTAGGATTCACAATCCACTTACTGACGCAATAACATTCAATAACCACAGACTGTTCTAAAGGATAATATAGTGAATTTACTTGAAGTAAATGTACATCTTTTCTGGTGTTCATACAAAAAGCAGAAAACTTGAAAAGACAAGCAGAGACTTTATTTTACTTAAACGCGTTCATTAATTGACTGGGTTAATATCATTTCCATTCGAAACAAACATGCTAAATTATAAACAAATGTATTCTTTTTGCGTAGCACTAATGGGCTGAAACCTAAATTTATTTCATTAAATCGATTTATAATCTTGACAGATTTTCAGCAGATCCAAAGAAGTTTACAATGAAGATTCAATTTCTAATTTTCAGGTGTATTAGATTAGAAGAGAGTGTGAGACACCAAAGAAGACGCACAAAATGAATTTTTCATCCAGGTAAAACGATAAATCCTATCGTATAAATTGATGCTCATTAATATATGATTCATTTATTACGTGCTTACTTCTATAACAAAAAAGTCTAGTAAAATAGTTTGTTTATTTCGCACTTTTAAAGTTTATGCATTACCTTACACACTCTGATAGAAACGTTTAAGACTTACATGTACAGAAAAAATATTGAAAAGCGTTAGAAGACGAAGTGAAAATGCAAACCAAGATGGCCGACTGAGTTTAATCATAGACATAAAGCTTCAGGTTTATGGTATAATATTGCACTGTAAAGGATCCTTAGAAGTATAAAATAAGACAAACTGATAGATGAAGAAATGAACGCAAGAATTATAGGGTTATCAGAGATCAACAAAATAGTCTAGAACTCAGAAGCTAAAAATCAAAGAGTAGATCTATTTACTTGCCTGTACTTGTCACTGCTAATACATTCCCATTTGTCACTATCACCATGCAGACTAAACAATTGTATTTTCGTCTCATTTTTATTCATTTATTATTTACAATCTAGTATCTTGCAATTAAAAGCAATAAAAGTACATTAAAAATTTTTGTATTTTTTTTTTTATTCAATTGACCAACCAATTACATTTTTCCAGTTATTAATAACACAGGTAAATATCAAAGGGGAATAACTTCTTTCAGTTGAGTGCAAATTTCCCTGTAAGTATCAATAGAGCCCTACCCAGCATCAGAACACTTGACGCAGTGGTCTACATTTCACGCTAACCTAGGGTCTATAAATTTCACAATTATGAAAAGGCACCCCTGCTTATCATAACTATGCACTTTATTTGTTTGCTTAATACCCTGGAGCAGAAAAGATTTCCAAAGAAATAATGCATTTTTACTATATGATCAATAGAGCCCCGTCCTAACACAAAAACATTGATCTTGGGGCTATGAATATTACAATTTGGAATGAAGTACCCATGCTTATCATAACTACGCACATAGAACGCGTAATACCAAAAAGCAGAAAAGATTTTCAAAGAATTAAAATACATCTTCACAATATGATCAATAGAGACCCACAGTAAAATCAGAACTCCTGACACTGGGGCCATGAATTTCACAATTTTGGAAGAGGCTTCCTTGCATGTAATATCTGTTCATTTATATTACCTGCTAAATACCCAGGAACAGAGTAGAAAATTTCATAGAATTAATGTATTTTCTATATATGATCAATTAAGCTCCACCCTAAAGCTAGAACCCCTGACAATTGAATGGGGCCTTGAATTTCATTATTTTGGAAGAGGAACCCTTGCTCATCATATCCATGCATTTAGATTCTCTGCAAAATATACAGAGGGAGAAGAGGAGCTTTTAAAAACATTTCTGCATTTTTCACTATATGAGAGATAGAGCCCCACCCTAACACCAGAACCCCTGAACCTGGGGCCATGAATTTCATAATTTTGCTAGAAAACCCTTTGCTAATCACAATCATTCCAAAAACTGGAGTGCTTGATGTCCAGAAGTAAAGAAGATTCTGTAAGATTGCATTAATTTTGATGATTTTAGCCCCTCTTCTCATGCCCCAAGGGGTACATGTGTATATACCAAAATAGGTTGAAATTGGTTCAATGATTACGGAGAAGAAGCTGAAAATGTTCAAGTGTTAACACACGACCACAGACATAATTAACAATATATATCTGCAATATATCTGAGTAAACCAGATGACCTAATAATGAGAAAGGTCACGTTAACGTCAAAAAGGCGTTATATTGCCCCTAAAAAAGGTCGTATAACGCAGTGAAATGGCAAATAACTCTATATTTTATAGAATTTAATCCATATTCATGTTCATTCATCATGCACAAAATATTATTATTAACAGGTTTAACAATAATCATTTATCTTGCATATTATCTTTATAATGTAATTATATTTTGTAATGAAGATGGTTTACAATAACTTTTCGTATAAATTCTGATTTAAAAAAATTATCCAATCAAAATCATTATCAACCGAATCTAAATCAACCAACAGAAGTGCACAGAATTACAGAATTGCACGGAAAAGTTTTTAGAAACATTAAATGCATATATGGATTTTTTTCCCGTGGCATTTTATTTATGATTTTTTGAATAATCAAATTCGACAATATATTAGACTTTCTTTTAAATGTCAAAATTAGCATGACGCCATAGTACCGGTAAGTGACTTAAGAAAAAGAGATGTATTTTGAAACAGACCGTTTGCATGTACATCATATTATATTAGTGTAACCTCTGACATACATAGTGACAGCAACACTTCCCAAATTACAGCAAACACAAATCTGATGAATTAAGCATTGAACACATTCAAGCATATAATTATAGCAAATGCTATTTTAAAATCATTAAATAAATAATTATCAAAATGACCCGTATATTACACTATTTTCGATTAAGAACTCGTTTAACTTCCGTTCTATATTGTTCATCATTTTTTCTCTTCCGAAGTGGACCACTCAGGAAATTAGCTATTGAAGGAATAGAAATCAGCCGGTTGTAATATTTCTACAAAATAAGAAAAAGTATTGATCGTGTTATATAATGAAATGCATGCAATTGTATATTTTTGGGGGGCGAGGGGCTAGTGTTTTTATCTTTTTTTAAGCCTGTGTTCTTTTTCGCTCATATTTGCATACAAATTGAAAGAGCTGTGAAATTTTAAAATAATCTTGAATTTGTCTGCCTGAAGAGACTGGAATCAAGGGCGATAACTCTAATTCTTACCTTGACTTCGCTAAAGTTATCTAAGAAGTTTACTCCTCCATATTCCACACACAATAAAAGCACCTCCAGAAATCCTACATCTGCCATTGTCATAGACTTCCCGACCAGGAACCCTGTTCCATTCTCTGTCAACCTCTGTTACAATAATTTAACTGACATAAATCGGAACTAAATTTATTCATAGTCATTGTGATTCATTCTAATTTTACTTTTAAGGAAAACGTCTTCTGTATTAATTTTTTTTACATTGAATATTTAAACAATCTGGCTTACACAATGCATGCAAGGTGCTTAAATGCCAAAGAAATTAAAATTATGCATTTAACAATTCTGTAAACTTCACTGTCTAATTAATGGAATCTAAGGTATATGTGAGGTACATCTGTACTAGAATTAAACGAATTTTAAACACAGACTTGAATAATCAAGCAATAAATCCCGTCTATATCGTGTTGCTAGATCCGGCACGGAATAGAAAAAAAATTATGAAATAGTAATTTATCAAAGCAAGTTGTACTTTAAGGTATATGTAAACTCTACATGGTAGAACTTAAAAATTGTAGGGGTGAATGTACGTTAGTTCTTTGTGACACGTATGCACTAAAAAATATTTAAACTCTTTAATTTCCTCTCAGTAAGATCAACACTGACTTGTACATTTCTCATAATTATTTTCTATTTATTATACAAAAAAGAATCGTTGTATACCTTTTCAAGGGCAGGAAAATATCTGTCTTCTCCTGCAGTTTTTGCGTCTGCTATGGCCTGTTCTTCTGTTTTCATAAAAATCACCGGTAAAAATACCATAAAAAAATCCCTAGAGGCTTCGTAATACATATCGATTCTGTTAAAAAAAATTAATTTCGTTCATGATATTGTACATTATAATTAATTAAAATCAATGTTATTTAGTGAAGAAAATATTCAAATTATGTAGCCTAGAGTTATAAATTAAAATAGTTTTATATGAAATTTAACAAATTGCAAGGGATAACTATATAATATTTTTTTTTAAAATATAAATGCATGTAAGGAATTTAAAAATCATTGTTACATTGCTGCCTCCTTGTCGTCTGCTCCGTACAGCTGACCTTTTCGCGACACATAGTGGACGATAGCGTTTGTCTGTACTAATTCCATATCATCAATCTTAAGCAGTGGGACCTGTTTAAATGGCAGGGAACCATCTATAAAACAATGTAAATATTTGAATTTTTAAAATTCATGCATATATTGTGCTTCGTCTGGATTTCTTGAACTCTTTGCAGACTAAATACTTTGGGTCTAAATTGTGCAAAAATTTATATCATTTTTTAAATCAAATTTTATCAAAATAAAGAAGATATACCTCAGTGATCAAACCCAGTTTTAAGTCCAGGGTCTTTATGTATATTTGACATATAATCAAAAAGTGAGGATGTTGATAAGTCGGAATATAATGATATTTGTTGAATTTATGCATATTTTCTAAAATTGCTCTGTTGTAATATAAAAGTTAATTAAGGAAGAACAATATATGGAGTTAACGTAGGTTTTCATCCTACGCAAATTTAATCACCTTTTCATGACTTTTCATCGGGGTAATTGGTAGCAAAAATAATATGTCACTTAAACACATTAAGATGGCAACGTGGTAAAAAGGACAAAAAACGTGAGGGAAAGGTATATTTACCTTGAATAAATTTCTCGAATTCCTGTCTCTCTGTCAAAAAACTCTCTGTGAACTAATGGGGAAAAAATTATCGCTTAATACAGTGTACAATACTTTTATGCGATTTTACAATCAGATCTGCCATTAAAATAATGCGTCACGATAAAAAGATCGTATCCATTCATGACTATTAAAAAAGTGTTTGAACATTTGGCGTTAAATCTTAAATTCAGAGTGAATAACGATGATCAAACAACATGAAAATAATTGCTTATGATCCTCTAAAATAGAAAGAAAAAAAAAACCCTGAATTGTATTTAAAAATGAAAGACCTTTCTAAGTTTTGATCTTATAAATTACAAAACAGTGTATAGAATTGAAATTTATGATCCCGACTTTTCCATCCACGATACACGAAACTGTCCAGCAAAGACACATCCCAAAGGATAAATTAGATATTAGACTACATTCCCATGGTAACAGATTTGTCAAAGTAAAATAAGTATAGTATCCATCACTACGTCAAACCTATTTATAGACATAATACAACATATACCGGTATTTCTGCAGCTGCTAGCATCATGCGGATCACCTCCCCGCGTCCACGTCCGTTGAAGTACACCAGATGCGCCATTTTTACCAGATTTCCGGATAGCTTAAAGCGCTGTAGCATGTAATAATATCAATGTCTACAACCAATATTCGTCTGAAAAAAGCAACGACATAGGAATTTATACGGAAAGAAAGCTAAATAAATCTAGTAAAGTACATTGCACACTCATAAATCATTCATGAGGACCTTTGTAACGGTATATTAAAGGGCAAGTTCAACAAGACTTATCAAGGATGAGAAAAGCTGGGATTATATCTGAAACACGTCCGCGACTTCATATGTGATAACATAGCTTTTTATACATGAAAAAAATTGTTTTGTCGATATCATCATGATCATAATATCTCGAATGGGAGCAGAATTTTTTTTAGATAAATGCATAGATTACCCCCCCCCCCCCCACCTTTTCTTTGCTATGATAGACATACTTGTAATATAAGCATTGAAATTGGGGCTTAAACCCCCCCCCCCCCCAAGTTTTTTACCTTTCAATTTGCTTCCGATGCCTATGATATGCATTGTCGTTTTAATAGAAAAAAAATCACGCACATGACAAAAATACCGTTTTATATATATGCATAATCATGCATGTAGAACATCCATCTTACAATTACGTAACTGGAACTAAGCGATTTACTTAATTAAATAAGTAAACTGGCAGAATTTGAGGCTGGAGAGTTACTGTACCCCTCCCACGGTTACAAATCCCCCTTCCCCCTTGCGCTTACTTATTGTATAATTTCTTTATTGCATAATACACCTATAAAAGTGCAAACAGCCGGTATAACTCCAAGTGTTGGACTAAGTATATATTCAAGTTTCTGTATGGGTAATTTGAGATAGAACAAGGAACAATTATCTAGCATGGTTTTTATAAGTGTATTCCGTGTTTGTATATTACAATTACATTGTAAAAAGAAATGAAATTCATCAACAATTATAGCATTACATAAAGTTCATAATCTTTGTGTTGTCGAGGTATTTACTTATATCCACCAGTTTCGATCAGTAGGCAGTGGTCACTTGTTCGGAATTTAGTTAACAATCGTCTGTTATATATAGCACAATGTTACGTATATATTTCCCCGTCAACAATGTTTTTCTTAATCAAACTGGAAAAGCTGGATCCGTTCCTGACATTTTTTTTTTAGGTTTTAGAAATTTTAAAATGCTTTGGCTGCAGTAACAATGTACGTTACCCTTTTGCCGATCAGATTTTAACTTTATATTTCAAAAATATACATGCATATAACATGTTAAAAAATTTGGAGGTGACCGAAAAAAGGAAAATTAATTGACACATATATTACATGTACATACATGTGTAAATGCAATCTTTCAAAAGTAGAACTTACCTGTGTTGTAAATATCACGGAGAGCAAATTCACACAAAACTATTTCAAATTGACACAGTTTAAATGACTGACTGTTACATTTTCGTTGTTTACACTACACCTGCAATGATAATGTTTATGTGAATTAATTTGATGTCGTAATTAATATAACATTTATAAAACACCTGTTGAAAAACAAATGGCAGAGTATTTAATTTAGAATAAATGTCCAAAATCATTTACGCCAGAGTGGAAATGTGTGGCGATTTAACTTAAATCTAGTTTAAGCCGATTACTTGAACTGAATTTCAAGGGTGTTCAACTATCACAAAAGCAAGAATGGATTGACTTTAACGCTAGCTAAAACAAATCCAATCAATAACTTCGTGAAGCTAACAACCCATAGAATGAACTAACGAGTAGCTAGACATGTATGATCTCTAGTTGGTTTTTATTATTAAATTTCTCAAAGGTCGATGTTGTTATCTCACAGCTGTTGAGATAAAGATCTACTGTTCATGTAGTATATAAATTACTGAGCAATAGAATACGACATAATCATACAAAAGTAGGTGGATCAGCTGATAATTAACATACATTGTAATGTATGAGTTACTGTACGTAATGTATAAACATATTAAACACATCATTCTCTCCTCAAAATAAAGTAGTGAACATAATTATCAAGTGCAAAAAAAGGTACATGTCCATGTATAGGTCGCCATATATATATATATATATATATATATATATATATATATATATATATATATATATATATATATATATATATATATATATGCAGTTCAGCATTACTAACCTTTTTACTGGGTGAATCTGCGACTATGTCGTGTCCTAGCCTACATATACTGTATGGTTATTTTTGGATCGTATCCTTGAAGCAGGGACGTATATACATGAACTCATTCAATATTTCACACATAGTCCTAATAGGTACATGCACATCTTGTCAAAAATTATATCAGCACGACTGGACACATCTAAACAGCAAATCAGTCTTCATCAATTATAAACTGAGTGAAAAAATCTGCAAAAACAAACCTGATAATACACAACTCCAGATAAGAAGCTGCAATTAGCATCTCCGGTATATACGGTATATACGGTTTGTTTACCAAGTTAGCGCTCTATACATTGAAGTCCTTGTTTCCGGTTTATAACAAAGTCAAGTTATGCCTGAAAGTTTATCTGTCAGGGCTTTTAAAAGTCTAGAGAAACTCAAATGCCGATTCTGAACATGGTCACTGCACAGGGACCAGCATCGTCGCAAACCACGGGCAAAATATACGATATATGCGGACTCCGGACCGTGGCTTGAGACGATCCTTAACAGTTTTTATAAAGAATATGTAAAATCAAACATTACAGGTGTCCGACCTCTGTGGGTAAGTGTACAACAGAAAATTTCTCCATTTCAAAGATTTTCTTTAATATTATTTTTTTTTTTTGCTATTTAAGCAAATAAATAAACAAATATTTAACATCAAATAATAAATAAATAAATAAATATTAGCGTGATTTTTACGTGCGGGGTTGTCCCGTGTTCTTAGGACATATGTATTTGCGAGCTATTTTGTTTCTCGAAATAAATCCTAAATAAGAGGGTTGACAAATGTAATGTCACTACTTATGAGCAATTTCTTAAACGAGGTAAGCTATTGACAAACAAGTTGATGAAACAAGAATATAAACAGTCTCGTTTAAAGTCATCATTTCGTACGTTCTATGGTCGGTACAATGACCTTGTCAGCAAATAAAATCTATCATTAAGTCAAATGCTAAATGACGTTTTTCATACTAATTGTTAGGCCATTATTTACCCACTGGACTGTCGACGGATTTTCCCGTTATTTCCCGATCATGACAAGGAGCACACGGCGGGTGTGACCAGTCGGCAGTGAATGCTCACTCCTCCACATGACACCTGATCCAACCTCTGATGTTTTAGAGGTCAGTGTTGCTCTGCTCCTGATTTGTACTGTTTTAATGGACTTTTGAGCTTGAATACTGTTCGTTATCTCCATATATTTCATTGAGAGATATAATAGATTTTAGAGGAACTGTAAACGAGTTCCAAAAGTAAGGTCATCATAAGACGTCGTTAACGTTGTTGCCGTGCGGCGATAGACCTAACCTTACTTTGTGTTTATCTTTATATTTTGATAAATATTGTACAGTCAAATATTGTTATATTTATGGTTATCTGAATAAAATTTTCAAGCATCACCCAAAATGGATGGAGGTATTAGCATACTAGCATGTAAAATTTTGTTGATGAGGCTGCATTATTAAAGAATTTAAAAAGAAGCGGCGTTATGTTGGATCAACCCTTATATCTTATTTTATTTCATGCAGATTAAATATAATATTTTTTAAATTCTATTCAATAGAATTAAACAAATACCATAAATAAGTTATTTGATGAATAAACTTAAATAGAGATGAATTATAAAATCGCATGATTTTTGTAAGAGAGTGGGTGGGGGTGCCATCCACAAGTATCTATGTTCTAGCAACATGTTAAGTACATGTAGATTCAGCGTAGATTTAATATGTTGATTAATTCAAGAGATCTGAACAAATACCAGTAACAAAATATTTTTCTTCTAATGAATTAATCTCATTACAAGTTTTTTGGCGAATCTTTGAGTGACAATTTTGTGCTTTGATGGTATTTACTTTAGTTTTTATTTCATTCCGTAAAGGTCAAACAAATTAAGTCAAAAAGTGTAATAGCGTATGCAGAATTTATTCGATAAAACATGGAATGCTTTTAGCACATCTGTTAAATGTCAAAAATTAGTTAAGTTTGAGTGCCGAGCCTTGCCCACAAAACTGATGTAGATTGTGACTCAGTTGGTTGAGATCTTGGGCAGTGAATGTTGCAGTCGATGTATGTGAATCCACAAGGTCTATCATATTTTTCTTTTAAAAAAATAAAAACAAAATTATCAAACATCACCATTTATAATTTTTGCTAATATAGATTACACAACATGTCAACTAAAAGTAAAAATTCAATATAGGAATATTATATAATTTAAAACTTTGAGAAGGAAAAAAACCCCGTTATTTAAAATAGAAAATATCTCCATTAAAAATATTTTGCAACTGCTAGCATTCATGTTTGTTAGTAAATTAAAAAAACCCAGCTGTTTAGAATAGAAAATATAGGACTGAAATCTTTTTATAACTAAAAGGTAGTAAGGTGTGATGCTGCATGAGTATGCTTTTATAAGATCTTTTATACGTGTTAGCTTTTAGCTCTTGAAAAAAACCCCCAAAGATTTATTTTTCATTTCTTTTTTCATAATTATAACTTTAGACCCTTTTAAAATATTTCCCCACTCTGGCCTATAGCATACGGCCATTACTTAAACACTACTTGACGTCTTCATATATGTTTGGCAATTTGCAGCGTTGTATATCTTGAGAACATTTCTCATAAAGATCACTCAGATACATTTCTATATATAAAACTTTGGACACTCTGTGTGGCTCCATCCCAAAAAGGGGCATAGTGATTATTTACAATAAAAAATGTAAACCTTATAGAACTATTACAATATTCTTAAATATTTCTCCATACACTGTCTCTGAAATTCCTGTGTGGCTTTATGATTGTAAATGGTTTGTCAATGAACAAAAGATACTCTCATACAATATAAATTTAACAATTTTCTAGATTGCGAGAGTTTTATGCATGTTCGTATACATTGTCTATATAAACCCTTGAACTCATTTATTTGTGGAAACATCCTGGTACCGAGATCATTGATTTAACAAACACGAGTCTACTTTTTTAAGTATGCTTTAAAGAGAGGTTCATTATTTGTAGCCTGGTGGTTCTTGAGAAGATTTTTAAGGACCCAATTATTTCATATTGAAAGGGGGCAATGGTGGACAAAAATGGATAGTAATAGGTCACTTTAGTAGTCCAGGTGACCACCTAAATATGCAGGCCCGTAGGAAGCAATTTCACTTTGAGGGGGCACAACCATGCATTTCATTTTCAGTTCAGGGGGCACTATCAACTACCAAAAAAAAAAAAAAAAAAAAAAAAAACTGAGGGGGCACAACATGCATGCAGTAGCTATGTTTTCTATAGTATTCTATATATCGGCAAAATCCCCCCGGTTCCTACGGCAATGATATGGATAAATGAATTCAAAAAAACCTAAGTATGGGTAAATTGATTCATAGTAAAGAAGATTTCCAATTTGCAGAAATACACTGTAAGTTTTAATTAAGTTTTGTAAATCAAATACATTTTTAAAATGCTACATTTGAATGTATAATACATGTTAAAAAATAATAAACTACAAGTATACTAAGCGACATGAAAACACTTTTCTTTACCTCAATAGCGTGAAGTCCAGTACTTGTATGGACGCTTTGCTGTTCAATGGCCGATAACACATAGAGGTAACAGTGGTGGCGACCATTTATTTTTAATGCTACAATGTGCTGTGAATTAATTAAAAAGATAATGCTTAGAACAGAAAAAATGCACACTCAAGGAAATGTTTCAAGTTGTACTAAATATTTGAAGAGAGGGCATGCATCTTAAGGATATACCGTTGTATGATCGTAATGAAATGCAAGGCCTTCGTTGACAATATGGTGCGCATGCGGTTTAGTGTGATGAGGATGGTGAGTCGTTGTGGACAATACCTATTTTAATAGAGTTATGGAATTATAATGAAGTAAAATATTTCAATACTTTTGTCATTATTGTATGAACCAATCTATTTTTGCATCTTGTTTAAAGGAAAGTAAAGTCTTTGCTGTTTTGAATACTTACGACGGAGATGAGACCAAATGCAAAAAATAACGAAAACATTACTATGTTTTTACTGCAGCGTTTCTCCCAAAATGGTTTTTCTTCAAAATTCCAATAGAAGTAACGTCATATGTTATCTTAAAGATAACCCTTTGGCACATTTCTTCCATATATTAACGATATGAACAGATATGGGGGTCAAATACGAATCGAAAGGCTAAAACCGTAAGCTGGTAAAAAAAAAAATCTCTGACAAGTGTACCAAATAATGTAAAGAATGAAAATATGTATATTTGTTTTATTATTCCCTGCTTGGCGACATAGTTGAAAAGTAGATATATAATTTGGTCCTTGTATAAGAATGTGGACAGATCGCATTTGTGGAGATAAGGAAAAGTGGTTCATTTGATGTTTTAGTTATTCTTGCTCCAGAAATGTTAAAAAACACAGAAGAAAATATTTGCTTATGCGCTTGACAAGGACCATTTTTGCCAATTAATCAGCAGCAGCATAAGAAATTCATCAAATAAGCATTAGCATCAGCATGTATTATTTTTCCAGCAAGAAAGTAGTATATATTTAAAACATGCAAATATCACGCAAGACACAGCATTACTAGTTATACACAATAAACATTGGATTTATATATATATATATATATATATATATATATATATATATATATATATATATATATATATATATATATATATATATATATATATATATATACATGTATATATATATATATATATAGAGAGAGAGAGAGAGAGAGAGAGAGAGAGAGAGAGAGAGAGTAAATAAAAAGGCCTTTTGAAAACACTGACATATACAAAATGTTTCTTAAATTTTTTATTATATTTTATTTCAAATCAACCTTTGTTATTCACAATTCGAATGCTAAATTTGTAGTTTTACAAGCATTCGCTAGCATTGAATTCATATGAAACTGGCATAGGATATCAGCCCAGCTAAAATACCTAACATTCAATCGATAAACATAAATAAATTCTTAAATCAGTAGGTTATTCAATCAAGAAAATAAGTATTGAGAGATATGTTATGTTATGTTTAAAAATTGTTTTGGAAGAAACATGGAAAATTTTCAACAGTTTGTCTTTCCCTGCTGAGAGAGAGAGAGAGAGAGAGAGAGAGAGAGAGAGAGAGAGAGAGGTTTAAATAATATTAATAATGATAAGTCATGATGTGCTTTTATTTTAGGTTACATTTTTGAGATTTTTTTTTTGGGGGGGGGGGGGAGGGTGAACCATTTTATATCATGATTATATTAAGTAAAATGTCACCTTTTTTCACATTTAATTTTTCGTCTGTGAGGATGGGGGTTATAACATGCACTGGTTAGAGAGATAATCGCCTTTTCTACTGTAATGCTAATTAAATTGGCAGAGAAACAATTCCCATGAAAGTTGAATGATGTTATAGAATCAGCAAATAGAAAGTGAATTTGTTAAGTTCAAAATCTCTCTAGACTCTACTTCGCAATTTCACTCTTGACCAATCAGGACGCTAGTTCCAATAAATAGTACTGTGAGCAATGATCTCACAAAATAGTACCCCGCTCCTATATGATTATAATGGCAAATTGCTCTTCTTGGCAGTATGTAAATGAGATTTTGTGAAAGTCCCACTGAATTTCATTCAGGGCTTTAGAAGTAGTTGCAGTAACAAAATGGGTATCCCCTTTATCGAGTATTATGGCAAAGTCCATGTTTTGCTATGGGAAAACCCAAATATCTGTCCGATCTAAACGTAAAATAGGAGGTCGCAATGGCACCACATAATAAATACAGTCATTAAATCAAATTCATTAAATTTTATTCAGTGGCGTAGGAGGAGTTGCGGATAAGAAATGGGTTTATGTTAAATAAAGAATTGCAAAGTCAATGTTTTGCTTTGGGAAACCCCAAATATCTCTCGAACTGCAAAAAAGAAGATGCACATTGACACTATATAGTAAAGATTCTGTGAAAGTCTGATTAAATTTCATTTAGTGGTATTGGAGGAGTTGCGGATGAGAGATGGATACCCATAATATTATTGAAAGAATGAAATTACAACATAATGTACGGTTTTACAAACCAAGGTAACGATAAAATCCTTAAATGTTCTCCAGATTACAAGCTTGGCCACAAATTGTCGAATTGGGTGTTTGCTGTGCAACTTACTGCTCCTCTTATGACGTAATCAATGATAAGTGATACGTAGGAGTGCTTATGTCACAAAGAAAATAAACTGAATCAAGTCAAAATGTGTTAAAATTTATTAATAATTTAGTAATATCAAAAGAGTATAATCCTTTACAAAAGTAAATAATGCAGCCATTCAGTCCATTAAAATGTCATTGAGGTCTGTCTCCAACCGAGGTCTTTTTGAGTATAAAAGTTCCAAACATTGTTATAGCAAAGGACGCTGCTCTTGATATTCCACAAAATTGTGAAGCAGCAATTTGAGAATCTGAAAAAAAAGATTAATAAAATATAACCTCGAAAATAATCTAGTACAATTTTTAGCATTAAATTTGTACAAATTCAAGAAAACGTCCTTAACAAATTATTCACACCCCCAAAAAATAAAAATGAAAATTCCCCCCTCCCACCCCCAGATACCCGAATGTCTGCTCCATTTTTAATTAAGTGAGCTGAACCTTTGAAATATGATCATGATTGGAGAGTTTTGGTAATGGGCAATAACAAACTTAAGTTAGAATAATCCAACCATTGGTTTCAATGTAATGATTCAGACACGAATTTTCGCCAGATTTCTTAAATGTCCATTATGTACTGAATCAAATTGCAAATTCCTGTTTTCCAATATAATTAATCTAAATTATTACCAATAAATACCTTCAAGTTAGCTGCCCCATAGTTCGACCAGTCCATTTGATGTTTCACATTTACCAAAAAAGAACTTTTCTCTCTCTGGACAAAATAAATTATAAATTTTAACAAATGAACAATGAAATTTATTCTACTAATATATATAATACAAATCGACAACACGGTAAAAACATGGACGCCTGGAAACATTAAAGAAGGGATCGGGTGCTTAGGGTGAGAAAGCATACCCTATCTACTGGTCACACTCACCGTGAGCTATCTGTAGAAATGTTACCATAAAATAATACCCTAACAATGTGTATAAAGCATGACAGTCAAAATACGACCCAACAATAGACTGTATTGGAGAAAAAGTTCATTATAACGGTCACCTAACTTTAAACGAGACTATTGAAGCCGCTTTAGAACCAACCGCTTTAGAATCAACTATTTCAACTGCCTCCTTTTGAAAATAAATCCTTCACAAAACATGTTCTTGCGTAGAGTAACAGTTGGAAGACAGACAATATATGCATTTGATAAAGGGAATATCGCTACAATAACCCCATGGTTCATATAGTTTAATTCGTGGTAGTTGCCATTAACGTCTCTATTCAGTAAAACACCCAAATATAAAATAAATGTGGCAAATTCTATTTTATCTCATTTCGAGTACATTGTGATATATAAATTTGAATGTATTGATAAATCTGGTGCATCAAAAGTAGTATCGTATAAGATTTACATTATGACCCTTGGGTCGAGGCCTCTGCTGGTGAACTGAGGGTCTCTACAGCCAGCAAAGTAGTTAAGTACTTCTGTACTAGCTTGAAAATACGGATATATATTTAGTTGCTATAGTAAAATTTAGAAACTTATTTTAAAATTAAAAGGATTAACTCCCTTATGCATAGCTCTGATCCTTCGACGTATTTGGCTCCAGTCTTTGGCAACCCTTTTTTCAGCTCTTCAAAGTTTTTTTTATTAAAATATTTCGGATTTCCAACGTTTTGGCATGAGCATCACCGAAGATACATAATTTGTAGAAATGCGCATTTGGTGCATCAAGATTGGTACCGTATAAGATTTACATCTAAATGTCTAATTAATTGCTTCATAATTCATGTAGAAGTTTTTGAATAACGCCCGTTTCATAATCATGTTGGCTAATGTATGAAGATAATTATTATTATTGTTTAACGCAGAGTCGGCAATATTTTAGACATAAATCGGCGACTAAAGTATGAAGAAAACAATTTTATTTCCTACGTAGCTTGTAACACGGGCTTTGATTGGTTACAAAGTCGAGTGTAAGTTTCCGTACACCCGACTTGAGCCGGGGGTAAAAAACGACGTCAGAATGCATAGTTTCTCTATGATAAAAAGCAAATACCTTGACGTCACGGTGCATTGTAGGACGTAGTTAATCTTATCGATAGCTTGAAACACAGTTGATTGCATTTGTTTACAAAGAATTTATTTGAGTATATAGGAAATAAATTCGTTATCCAGGTCCAATCAAGGGTGTACGTGGATTTTCCCCGGTTTGTATGCCATACATCCTTCGGCCTCAGGGTGTATGGAATAAAACCCGGGGTAAATCCCCGTACACCCTTGATTGGACCTGGATAACTAATATTATTTCCTATGTAGCTTGTAACACGAGCTTTGATTGGTTACAAAGTCGGGTGTAAATTTCCGTACACCCGCCTTCGGCCTCAGGGTGTATGGAATAAAACCGGGGGTAAATCCCCGTACACCCTTGATTGGACCTGGATAACTAATGGTATTCAAGCTCATTAGTCCATTCAAATAATACAAATCAGGATCAGAGCAAGCACGGACATCCGAAACATTAGAGGTGGGATCAGGTGCCATGAGGGAGTAAACATCCCCTGCCGACTGGCCACACCCGCCGTGTGCTGCTTGTCATGATCGGGAAATAACGGTAAAATCCGTAGACAAATCAGTGTGTAAATAATGGCCTAACAATTAGTATGAAAAACAACAGTCAGCATTTGACCTAGTGATAGATTGTATTTGCTTACAAGGTCATTGTATCGACCATAAAACTTGTGAAATGATGACTTTAAACGAGATAGGAGTGAAACGATACGCCTCCTTCACGATACGATACGTATCTTATAATTTTGTCTCGGTACGTTTATGTTAGATACGATACGTTTTGATAGCAGGAAGCCAATAAGACGTTGTTTCACGTTTTGTTTCACTAAATCCAGTTACTAAATCTATGTGCAAATTGTTTGTTGTTTGTTTGTTTATTGTTTAACGTCCCTCTCGAGAATTTTTCACTCATATGGAGACGCCACCACTTGCAGGTGGAGAGCTACACATTTTGACCTATTCTCGGCACTCAGGGCCATTGAGTAATGAGGGATCTTTTTCGTGTCAGCACCTACTGCGACACGGGACCTCGGTTTACGGTCCGGTATCCACGTCCCACAGTGGGATTGAACCCGCGACGTAAGGATAAACTCCTTACACCGAGACTCTAGAGCGAACGCTTTAACCACTGCGCCACGCGGGCGACTATGTGCAAACTGAGTAGTAGAAATTGATACATGTAACAATGAATTTACCGTTGAAAATTATTTTACAACCTATGAGCCCTCAAACATTTACGTTTTTTTTTTAGATTTTAATCGTGCTGAGTAGCGTGTTTTACCTATGCCATACCTGACTGAATAATGATTCAGACCGAAAAATGAACCGAACCGAAAGTGGAGATTTTCCAACGTGTATCAAACCGAGAAAAAATAGCAAGGTGAACCGTCTCTTCCCTAAAACGAGACTGTTTATCAATAGCTTGCCTCGTTTAGAAATTGTTCGTACGTAGAGCATGCTCTTGCGTATCGAATTAACATAGAAACATAAACCCCATATGCAGGTGATAGGGTATATTGCTACATAAGTAAGGGAAGTTGGTGATTGAAGCATTGAAGTCATCATGTTTATCATAAGCTTTGTTGTTAGGTTACCATTAACGTCTTTTTCTAGTAAAATATCCAAATATTAAACAGATGTGTCCGACTCTGGTATCTTTTATTTCAAGCTCACTGGGATATATCAAGTCGATATATGAATGGAAGAAAGTATTGTTATATGATAATTGGTCGTCGATATGTCTAAGTGTCGAGGTGAAGGCCTCAGCAAAGTTTGGATCTATTATAACCGTTCAAAATGTATATTCTGCACAATTAGAAAAAAAATAATTATTTTTGGCTTGTTTCTGAGTTAGTATATTTGATTTCCATATTGGAGCAAAAAAGTGAAATAAGAACCTCAAAGGAAATGAATATTAACGTTTTTTTCATACAATCCATCACCGTGTGAAATGTACTCCAAAAACATGCTAGTAGTACCTTCCGCCCTGTCATGCCCATAGAGTGACTTTTATCTGAATAATTAAAGTGACATTTTATTAATTAAGCCGTTCTTTGATATCTATTTGTATTTTCATCTCATTCGTTAATTTTATTGTTAAAATATTTAACTTTACAGAAATTGCCATTTTTAAATATTTCGCAGAAGGGGAGGGGCAGTCAATGTGCTCGGACCACAGACTTACAACCCAGCAGATTTTGTTAAGTTTTAAGGTTTTAATAGAATTGAAATACGGAAACTAACTTTCTCTTGATCACACACGTTTTATATTCACTGATGTATATTTTCAACGGTGTCTTCAGTTGCCATGACACTGACCTTTGCCTCCTCCGCTTTGCTCCGTTTACATGGTCTAGAGCAGAAGATGTCGTCCATTGGCTGTGGTAATCTGGTCTCCAAATATTTAAGTTGCATATAGATTTCGTGGATCTATCGGAATGAGAAATGAGAATATTTTGAATCTTAATCAAGTTTATATTTCATTACAGGACAACAGAAATACATACAAAATTCGAAGAAAAAAAAATCCGAGTCTCTAAATTATATATTTGTGATTTGATTCTAGAGAATTTAGAACATATGAAGCAAACCTCCTTTGAATTCATCAACAGTCTGATATACAAATATAAAATGGGATCTCTCTCACAAAAATTCTGGAGGAGTTTTCAAGAGAATTTTTTAGTAAGTATCGTAATGTGAACAAATATTTTTGTATTTTTGCAAAATTAATCGTTATCCATACATACCATATATGTATCGTATTCAAAATTGGGAAAGCATTAATTAAAAAAAAAAAAATCATGACTATGTTTTGAAAACGATCTGTCTAGACCTTTGTGCAAAAGCAAAAACAGATGATATATACAGGAAATGAAATACATTTACAAACTCTAAAGTAATTACTTGCTGATATTTAAGTGAAAGCAAGATCATATTCAGTTCAATTCAATTCAGTTCATTATTACATGTAATTCAGATGACTACATTGGAATTATGGATATCAATTCCAGTTAAATGAAGTCAGTACTGCATTAGTGGCTTCCGATTTAATTTTTATACGATTTCATATATATTTTCTCTTGCAAATGTCACATTTAATATACGCCATATGTTGATCTATGATCTCTTATAAAATAATCACTATTTTTGAAAGAAAAGTTCGTTAAAAAATCACCAAGTACATTTGAAGGAAGATATCACAAAATAATATTAATATTTGCTGCTTATTTGTTTTTTTTTTGTTTTTTGTTTTTGTTTTGCTATTTAGTTTAAAACGAATTTAATGCATATTTTCGTGTGAATACATGTATACACGGAGAAACTTTCACTGAAGTAGCTGTTGAAATGGTAATACAAATATGATAAAAATAATAAAAAAAATCAAATATACATTTAATTGTTTGTTTTAAACACATGAAATGGAAAAGTATTTTAAGCTTAGGAATGCTATTGGTGTTCAAATCAACTAGATCTGTCACGTATGCATATTTTTTTCATGAGGCTCTTCATGAATAATGCCTACCGGTACGTTTCAAGACACACCGATAACTAAAAAAAACTAACTAAAAAAAAAAAACAACAATTAAAAAAATTGAATATACCACACCTAGGAAAAAACATATAGGATACATGTAACAGTTAAGAAGGGGAAAAAAAAAAAAGATTTCTCACCAAACAAAAGACGACTGTTCCAAAACTTTCACCAACTAAATGCACTTTCTGTAAGTGTATACTGCGATAAAATTCGGGCCGGTCTGGGAGAGAATGATTCACGTAGGATTTTGACGTATCTGAAGAAAAATAGAGACATTTTCAGGAATTCATTTTAATTATAATGTTTGATAACGTTCAGAAACATACACCTATTTTGCCATAAAATTCTGACCGATGTGGGTGAGAATAATTCACGTAGGATCTTGACGTATCTGCAGAAGAGTTTCATTGTCTTAAGTACAAAAAAAGGATGTCATTATTTTTTACTAAATGCTCTTTATATACTTAAATATTAAATAATTTGAAATAATCTTACACGAAGATACAGAGCAATTCACATGTGTTTAAAAATTAACAGATTTGATTTCTCGTAGTTTCTTAGAAAAGTATAATTTTTGTACAAATATACTTATGAAAGGTGTCATTAACGTACAACAACATTGTAAAGATTATTTTACTGAATACCTTTAATGGACTCCTGGTATTTATATATTAATTACATTAACAGATTAATTTTTAAAATTATTATGCCACGAATCAAATGAATTCACAAAATAAATCCAAATCATGAAAATATATATATATATATATACACAGAAATTGTAATTTACAGCTAGACCCTAAAACTTGCTACTACACAACATTTTTAAGACACGGTTCGGTACGCTTCTAGTACGGTACAGTTCGTTTGATAAACGGCACAGAGCAGCTTTTTGCATGGTACGGTACGTTTTTTTGCAAGAAAAGGTTCACTTCTTGAAGGTATTGTTAAATTCTTATGTAAAAAGCAAGACTGCATACAGTCGACATACAGAAAGATTGTAAACGTTAGATTGCACCGTACGGTTCGTTTGATGAATGTACGGTTTGCTTTTTGCACGACACGGAACGTTTTTTGTATGGCAGGGTTCGTTTTTTTTTTTTGGCACGGAAGTGTTCGAATCTCAAAAGCAGCATACAGCAAATTCGTAAACGGAACACTTCTTGTACGGCACTGTTCGGTAGGTGCCTGAAGTGTAGTAGCTCGTTTTGGGTCTGTACATTATTTCCTTAAGAATCTCTATTTTTTATAAACATTTATCAAGAAAATAAATACATACTGCAGTTATCAATACGAACCACGATACAGTATCCTTTTCCACAAAGTGCAAACAACAACAACGTGAAAATCTTTTCATAGCGCATTGTATGTGTTGCTGGAAAAATTGGACAATTACAATGACTTTTCTTTATATATGTATGGTTATATCGCTGTAAAGTGAATTAAAATTTAAAAGCTTTTTGATTGTTCCAACTTGATATCCTTCAGTGTATTTACGATATTACATTTGCTAAATTCAGTACAATAAGTGAGTAGGAGTCAAGTATAGGAAGCCTATCTATTTCATTTAAATAAGATTACTATTGTTCCCGTGAGAATGACAGATTGCCTGTTCATGCATGGGAAAAGGTTTGTAGTAAATTTATTTTCTCTCATGAATGGTTTCTGAAAAAAATTAATCATAAAATTTTAAAAGGTTTTATTTTCACAATGAACTGGTGCCAAAAAAAAATCGCAAGTGGTATTTTCTAGATTAAAAGGAAACACTTATTTGTGATAGATTTATTGCAGAAATGTCATTGGAAAGTCCTGACCCAAAGACCATAATCTGAGAACAGATTACAGGTAATTAAAAGCTTGGATATTACATCCTGATTTTCATTACACAAACACGTTTAAAAAGTTGCACGTTGGTATTATCTTCAAATACAAAAACATAATAATAATTTTGTCAAAAAAATTTCAAAAGTTATACTAATGCAAAATTTTGACGAAATTCTGTTCGTAATTTCTGATTTCGGGGCCAGGGTTAAAGGGAATGTGTTCTACAACTAGATTTCCCTTCAAGGAAAAAGGATTCGCCATGTTGCCAGTAGCTAGAATAATTTTGAGTATTTTTCAGTTAATTAATATGAAAAAATTCTGCTAAATAAACTTTGTGACGTCAAACAAAAATGAAAAAAAAACCCATGATTTGTATAAATAATTTTAGTGCAAAACCGTAGTTCTCAGGGTAATAGTAGTTCAACCAAGATATTGAAATTAATTAACAAATATTTGGATTCAGTGTATTTTTCTTCGTTGAAATGCATTGGGAATCTAAAACGTTCATTCGCATGTGGACACACGCTAAACCATGTCACTTCGCAAAAATGAACAATAGGAACTACCTATCTTTTCAATAATTAGGAAAACCATAATATGTATTGTTCTCGTTCAGTTAAATTCAAATTTATTAAATTCTTGTAAAATTATAATAATTTAACGTTAAAAAGTTTTGTCATTTTCTTCCTCCAGCCAAAAGGGCTCTTCTGTCTATTTCCCAAACTAGTTCTGAAAGGCGCTAAATTTAAAATGATGACAATTAAAAGTTATTAATTATCAAGAGAGAGAATTAAAGAATGTAAATACATCCACTGAATTGACAATTCTACCTTTTTGCGATTTTATATTCGCAACTTGTCTGCTTTTCCGCGACTACTTCAAACTGCTTTTCCGCGATTGGTTTTTACTGTTTTAATGTTTTAACTCCTTTTTTGATATTTCCTTTCCGCGAATTTTAAATGATCATTGGTCAAATGGGACGTAAAACAACAATCAATCAATCGTCCATGTACGAATTTGAAACATATTTCTATACGTCTGGGTTATGATATCAATAAAATGAAGTTAAAGCTTGTCTGTTTTAGGACGTAACACTGGTATCTTTACGGCATAAGCATGGACTCTTGAATTTCTCGACATTTGTACAACTACGGGACTTATAAAACTCTAACTGCAGTTCTAATTACAATCTCTGCATTTCCAATACAATGTTTTGTACTTCCATTTTTTCGTCGTCGGAGAGCAAGGTTTTAATTTGCGGGGGATGCGTTTTAGGTTTCTTAATTGTTTAAAAGCATTTTCGTTAAAAAAGCTTCATTATGAAAGGTCACTGATTTTGTTAAAAGATTATAAAATATATATCTAATAACATAGTTACGAAATATTTCTCACAACATTATTAATATAGGACAAATTTTAAATTATCAAGCTTGGAATGTGCTTCATATACATTCAATTGTATCCAAATACATAATCTTCTCTGTCGACTTCATGTTGTCATAAAATAAATAAATAAATATCATGTAGGAGGAAAAAAAGATAAGAAGTTATGATTTAAAAAAAATAACTTGACAACTGGAAAAATCTACTGTTTGAAAACTTTAAAATTCCAAAGCTAAAATCTTCTTGGGCAGTTGATCAGGGACGGTCTGCAAAACCGCCTATCCTTTCTCGACTTTTGAAATTACAGAGCTATGTACTCTAATTAAACTTCATAGTTGCATCTCATCATAAAAATAATTAGAACTAAGTTTGTGAATTTGAAAACACGGATTCCTCAGAATCGCTGAGATAATCTGCTTTTAAAATTTATTTGATACTTAGGTACCCCGATCCTTCAACTGGCGTCGGAATTTCATAAATATTATGGATTCTGTAGAGGATTACGCCAGGCGATGGGCCAGACATGACATAGAAGACCTTGACACTTTGTTAGAATGGATTAAATGTATCAGATATGTGTTAAAATCGCGCATTAAAAGATTGAGGGGCAATATGATAACCATCTGTCCTTCTGTATTCAATAATCCAGAAGTGAAAAAAGAATTAGATAAATTACATGATCAGTACGTACTGGTCCCTGCTGACAAAGCAGGTAACAACATTGTCTTTGTTTGTAAGATTCATTATATTAAATGTATTTTAGAGGAACTTGGATTTAATTCTACAAGTGGTAATCCAACTTATACTCATAGTTCCCTTTCTAAGGAGAAATTCTTCAAAATCATATGTCAGTTTTGAATATTTTGAATATTCCAAACAACCAAAATGAATTTGAATTACCATATCTATATTGGATTCCGAAACTTTATAAAAATCCTTACATACAAATATACATAGCGGGTTCAAGTAAATGTTCAACCAAGCCCCTTTCTTTACTCCTCACTAAAATATTAATTGTAGTAAAGGAGAAACTTCAAGAGTACTGTGCAACAATATATTCGAGAAGTGGTGTAAATCAGATGTAGATACTTAAAAATTCCAAGGAACTTTTGGAAGACTTGAAATCACAAGATTTTACCAAAATCAACAGCTTAAAAACTTACGACTTTTCAACTTTATACACAACCATTCCCCACGATAAATTAAAATCCAGGCTTTTTTATATCATTGACAGCTGCTTTTTCAATAAAAATGGAACTCGTAAATTTACTTACCTTGTCATTGGTCATTTGCAAAATTATTTTGTTAAAAAACATTCTGATTGTACACACAAGTACTCTGAAGTTGACACTAAAAAGATGCTTGAGTTTCTGATTGACAATATCTATGTGGTTTTATGAGACCAGGTCTTCCAACAATCTATTGGAATACCCATGGATACCAATTGTGCCCCGTTATTAGCACATTTTTTTTTTATATTCATATATAGCATAATTTGTCCAAAATCTTATACGTGAAAAGAAGAAAACACTTGCTGTGGCGTTCAACTCGACATTTAGATATATCGACGACGTATTGTCAATTAACAATGTTTATTTCCATTCTTATGTCGATACGATATATCCCGGTGAGCTTGAGATTAAAGATACCACAGAGTCTGGCACATCTGTTTCATATTTGGATATTTTACTTAAAAAAGACGTTAATGGTAATCTAACAACCAAGCTTTATGATAAACGTGATGACTTTCTCTTTTCAATCGTCAACTTCCCTTACTTGTGCAGCAATATACCTTCATCACCTGCATACGGGGTTTATATCTCTCAGTTGATTCGATACACAAGAGCATGCTCTACGTATGTACAATTTCTAAAACGAGGTAAATTGTTGACAAACAAGTTGATGAAACAAGAATATCAGCAGTCTCGTTTAAAGTCATCATTTCGTAAGTTCTATGGTCGATACAATGACCTTCTCAGCAAGTATGATTTATCAATGAGTCAAATGCTGACTAACGTTTTTCATACTAATTGTTAGGCCATTATTTACACAATGAATTGTCGACGGATTTTTCCGTTATTTCCCGATCATGACAAGGAGCACACGGCGGGTGTGACCGGTCGGCAGGGGATGCTCACCCCTCCATGGCACCTGATCCCACCTCTGATGTTTTGGAGGTCCGTGTTTGCTCTGCTCCTATTTTGTACTGTTTAATGGATTTTTTAGCTTGAATACTGTTCCTTATCTCCTTATTTTTTATTAGAGAAAAGAGAATTTGTAAAGTATGTGCATTTGTAAAATCACACTGTCAATTGAATGTTCATCAACTTATTTATCAATAGCCTGTCTTGTTTTAGAAATTGTTTACGTAGAACATGTTCTTTCTTATCGGATTAACTGGTAAACATAAACTCTATATGCAGTTGAAAATGGCATATTGTTTATGGTCAATTTGCCATCAATGTCTTTTAATTTAATTGTTCAGTAAAACAAAATATGAAACTGATATGTAAGACTCTGTGGTGTTTTTACTTCAAGTTCAATGGGACTTATCGAAGCAACTTAGAATTGAAACTGAATTGAATTAAAATGAAGGCCACAGGAAGAGCCTTCGTCTTTTCGAGTACAAGTTGTTGAATACATCTGCTTCATATAAATACAAAACAGGTCTGCTAATGAAGGGTCACAATTAAAACCCATGGAAATTCCAATAGATATTTGGATTACAACTTAATTTTCTAAAAAGTTCCTTGGATGCTTTTAGTATCTAAATTTGATTAGCGATTACTGAAGTTTCTTATTCACTTCTAAGACTTGGTAGAACATTTACTTTTGTAAGGATTTTTAAGTCTAGGAATCTTTTATAGGTACACTGTATGGTAATTCCAATTCAGTTTGGTTGTTGGGAATATTAAAAATATTTAAAACTGACATGATTTTAAGAAATTTCCTCTCAAAAAAAGGAAAATTTGGGTATAATTTTGATTGCTACTTAAAGAATTAAAGTTCATCTAAAATGCAATTGTAATATTGAACCTTACAAACTAAGATCATGTTGTTGAGTGCTTTGACAGCTGGGACTTGTACATATTGATAGTGTATTCGATCTAATTTTTTTATCACTTCTGAGTAATTGAAGACATAAGGACAGTATTAC